GGCCACGTCGTCGAACGGCGGCTCCCTGGAATGGAACTTGTCAATGGCAGTGAGGACCTCGTTGTGCTGATCCGAATGTTCCGGGTACCCAAACTGAATCAGAGCGAGTTTCAAACCGTGCTGCATCTCCTCGTCATCTGGCATCGTGCGGTCTCGAAACTCGGGGTCCAACATCATGGCAGCAACATGAGCAGGCGACTTGAACATGGTGCGGCGTCTGTCAAACACTTCAAGCAGCGCGTCCTTCTCGTCCTTTTCCAAAGCGGCACATGCAGACAAACAACGCGCGATCACCTCGTCGTACCAACGCAGAATCTTGCCAATCTGCCTCGTGTCGCTGTCCACCATCTGCAGCATGTCCATGATGGGATCCAACAACTTGCACACGTTCTCATATCCTCCCACCATTGAGGACAACCGACACATGTTGTGACCTCCGCGGCGTCGTCTCGAATCTTCTTCGTTTACCAAACAGTGTCCTTCCATCGAATATCAACGACCACCTGCATAAGATGCGATTGCAACAGAAAAAGTCGTCGCATCATAATCACATGCGTACCGAAGTGAGTCTCGGCGGGAAGCAGCAGAGCCTTTGTCGTGAAAGCTTGCAAAACTTCGCGAGCGTGGCTATGACGCTTGAAAAACTTTGTGACCAAATGCGCCTGAGCAATGCGGGTCGCCACCCAGTCAATGCTGCCGATGTCCTCAAGGATGAGGTCCATGACGTGTGCCACACAAGGAATCCAGAAGATGTGYTTGACACTCTCATCCTTCTGGAACACCTCCATCGCAGAAACGTTCGAACTGGCAGAGTCTGTGATGAAAGCGGTGATGTCGGCGAGCTTGATGTCAAGGGACTTCAACCTTCGCAGCCAAGCCTGCGCCAGAGCAATGGCATCCTTCTTTCCTCGCATAACATCTGTCGCGACGTATGTGGCGCCCCGTGTAGTGCCGCCGAGATAGTTGCACAACGTTTGGCCCCGAATGTTGGTCCAACCGTCTGTCATTATCGTGCAACCGTAGGTAGCTGTAGTAGCGAGGACAGGTTTCACACACTTTTSGACTTCCACATCAAGCTCATCCAAAAGTGTGGTACGGATCATGTGATACGTTGGGGGTTTTGGGGTGGGGACTCCTGGAACCCCAGGCGGGATGATCAACGTCAACATGCGTTTGAAGCTCTCAAGCTTCACACAGTTGAACGGCATGCCGCTTCCGACAATGAATCGTATGATCTGCAGGTGCCATGCGTGCTCCAGCGGGTTGTTGTAATACGAGGTCACCGCCTGCTGCCTGTAAGTGCCCCTCACTCGTGCACCGCCGCCCATACCTAGCGAATCCCACACCCCGCCCCCGGCCGCAGGTGATGCGGTGGGGCCTGGACTCGGAGCTGCAATGTTGCGCARATTCTGTAAAGGATCCAGTGTCCCAAAAACACCGTGCTGCGAGGTCGGGCCGTTCACGGGCACAGGAGTGGGTGACGAATCCGAAACCTGGACGGGCTCGTCGAGCTGGACGTTTCCCGCACCCTCAGTGGCCGTTGCAGYGSCCTCGCCAACAGGTGCCGAAGTCAAGTCTGGTGTAGGCCGTCATGTTTGCGAAGGAGGGGGAGGCAACCATGGATACGCAGCGGATTGATGTCCTGTTGCGGGTGCTCCTGCCACGGCCGGACGTGTGTCTGTGCGTCGAACTCTTGGGACCTTGTCCCTGTTGCCAATGAACAACGGGGTGAGGCCTGATGATGTGTCAGCGTCCTTCCCCCACCCACCGCCCTCGACGAAAGCACGAGTGCCTTGCTCGTCGAACGACACAGGTTCCCCGACACCTGAAACTGGCACGGTGCCTTGCGCATCAGGTTGCGTTGCCACAGATGGTCTGCCATCAACGGATGTGGGAATCGTCTGACGAAGCCGACGAGGGGGGAGGGGAGCAAGTGGTGCACATGGAGATGGCGCCACTTGCGAGGGGGCAGCGGTCGACGGGGGCGGCGGAACGACGTCATCGGAAAAACGAAGAGGTGGCCATTGAAAAGAGGGATGACCTAGAGGGAGACTCTGCAAGGCCTGCACGACAGAAGCCAAATGTGCAGGACACTTGGACATATCCTTTGACCAAATCGCGTGCCACACCGCCGGAGTGGCCACTTGGCATCTATACCCCTCGTCACGAAAAAAGTGTTCCTTCGCCTCACGAGCATCCCCACATAGAGAACGACCGCATAACCTGCACAAACAACGGCGACCGTTCTTCCTCCCGATCGCAGTGGATCCATCTAAATAACGACCACGAGCAACAAAATGCCAAACAGGATCATCTCGTTTTCCATCCGCCTTTGGATCCACCTTAAAAGGGGAGTCAAAGGTCTTCGTCTTGTGACCTTTTCTACTACCCTCCGCCCTTTTCCCAGTTGCCGAGGAGGACTCCGCAGGGCCCTTCCCGTTATTGCCTCGAGGGTCAGACATGTTGTGGAGACCGAATGAAATCCGCAGAAGGGGTGAACTGAAACGAACTTCGACGCCAACGACAAAGAACTGCACCGAAGTTACTGAACAACCGACGAATCAACCTGTAAAAGATGGACAGTGACAGGAACGAACACAAGTTCCACAACAACCACAGCGACAAACAAGAGAAGGAACAAACATAAAGACCCCTAGAGACAAAAAAAAAAAAAACACCCCTAAAAAGAAAAAAAATAATAAACAAATCAACACACATTCCACGGCATCCCGTCTTTGCCACACCCCCTACACCCCCCATGCATTGCCGCTCATGGCGGTCCCCCCCAAGAACAAGAGAAGGAACGAACACAAAGGTAGAAATAAAGATACAAAGAAAACACACACACACACACACACACACACACACACACACACACACACACATTCACGGCATCCCGTCTTTGCCGCACCCC